TCACCGCGGAGGGGAGTGGCGGGGCGGGAACTCGCCTATTACGCGAGCGTTACGTCACCGCTGGGGAGGTAGGGGTCAACATGTCACAATATTTTTGACATTTTTAATATTCCCATAATATATTCAACACTTTATAAATCTAGATATATGGTATATATTTTTTATTATAACTTTTATCTTATTTGTATATTCTATTTTAATTGTAACGCTTAACGACTTGAAGCTAATTTTGGTAGTTCAATAATTAAACGTATTCCTATATATATATATAACTGCCTGATAATGGTCTTGTACGACCGAAACATGTAGCAGGAATAAAAATTTGAATTGTAAAATATTAAAAGCGAGTATATTTGATGTGTTGTTGGTTAGGTTGGCAGGGCATGTAGCACGAATGGGGGAGACGAGGAATGCGTATAGGATATAGATGGGAAAGCCAGAAGGAAAGAGACCACTGGGGAGAAAGAGGCGTAGGTGTGTGGACAATATTAAAATGGATTTTAGAGAGATAGGATGGGATGGATTGGATTGATCTGGCTCAGGATAGGGACCTGTGGAGGGCTCTTGTGAACACGGTAATGAACTTTCGGATTCCATAAAATGCTGGGAAATTCTTAAGTAGCTGCAGAATTTGCGGCTCCTCCAGAAGGGCTCAGCTCCATAAGTAAATAAGTTGGTTAACCTAATTCCGAATCTTTGAGGTTATGTTGGGGTCTACTGATTGAAATTGTACACAGAACAAGACCATTAAATTACGCAATAATTAAGTCGTACTCTTTATTTTTGTCACGAAAAGCGACTACTCATTGAATTCGACAAATAAATGACAGAGTTAGACATATTAAAATGTGTTTAAATGATATCTATGATCAGGTCCATATGCGAGAGTGGTTTCAAGGTTTACTTGCACTTTATTTTTGACAAAAAGAGCATACATACCAAACTCTCACTCTTTTTCAAGGTATTCTCTTTTTACACTAACACTTTTTTTCCCCGTCGTCCTGACAAGCTACTGACACCAGCAGCGTAAGGAATTTATCCTGGATGCGTAGCCAGTTCAGGACACTGCATTTGAGTTCATCAGTTCGAAATTTCTGTCATCCTACTTGCACCATTGGGAGCCGGGATAGCGTAGTCGGTATAGCGACTGGCGACAGGTTAGACGACCGAGGGTTAGGAGTTCAAGCACCCGTAGAGGCAAGAATTTTCTCTTCTCTACGTCGTCCAGACGTCTGAGGTCCACCAAACTTCCTATCCAATGGGTACCGGGGGCTCTTTCCCCAGGTCTAAAGCGGCAGGAGCGTGAAGCTGACCACTCACCTTCAGATAGTGCCAAAGTCAGGAAAATGTAGGTCTATAAATCCACTCTACCGTACGCTTTCATGGCGTAGTGCTTAATTCGTTAAGCACAAGGACAAATTTACCTTTTAGGTGCACCATTTTGCGTAAACAAATTAAGATCACTGGGGGCAGGGTCGAGGCTATGAGGAGGACGATTCATGTTTTCCGAGACCATTGTTGCCACTCCTTCGTTAAATTTGCTATTTATGGACGAGCGTTTTCATGCAGTAGGAAGAACTTCTTTGAAAGATTCCCAGGACTTTCCTTCCGAGTCAGTCGGTGTACAACACTGTGAAGCAAGTACTGTATTAATTTGTGTTAATTGTTGCACCATGTGGAAGAAAATCAACATGCGTCACTCCTACTGAATCAAGAAACACACTTGCAATGATCCTGCCAGCTGACAGCTGTATTTAGAAAAATCGAGACTTTTTTAAAGCCTTCAGAAAACTTGTTATACCAATCACAGATGCCTTCACGTGACAGGGCCCCTTTACCACGCTGTGCACTTAACAATTTTTTATGTCATGGTGCTTAATTAATTAAGTACAGGGACATATTTACATTTACGTCGTGAATATTTAAGCATAAATAAGGAAGTGCGTAAAAGGGTGTGAAAATATAGCTTCACACATACTTAACCTCGGCACTATATGGGTGGAACTGGTCAACTTCACGTTGCGGCCGCTTCATCTTCCTAGATATGATCCCTGGTATCCATTAGATTGGAGAGTGTGTGTGGACTACAGAGCCGCTCTGGACGTAGTGGGAGAAGAGAATTTCAAACTTTTCCGGGAATACAATCCTGGTTTTCCAGTATGTAGTCTACTTACTGTGCTGACTGAGCTAACCTGGCTGCTTTACATGGAACGAAGACAGGGGATTATCAGTAAGCTTGATCGCTGATACAGTGCGATATTTAACGTCAAAAGATCAGTGAGTAACTGTATTCAGCTCACTGTGCCTCCACCTCAGTTTTCATACCCATCGTGGGTTCGAATCCCACTCAGTGCATGGATGTTTAGTGTTTGTATACAGGTACAGGCCTTGCGACGAGCTGATCGCCCGCCCAAGGAGTACTACCGAATGTCTAAGATCTAATAAACCGAAGTGAAACGGAGAGTTTCATGGAGGTAGGCCAAGACCCAAATTGGGGTTTTAGCGCCAAAGGGGAAAAAATGGCATGCAATATGCACACTTCGACTCATAATGTTCACCCCTCTTGTGCGGGGTCTGATATTACTGTTGATCTCCAACTTAAGAAGAGTTTTCTCACGTGAATATCTTTCTAGGACCTTAAAATAGACATTGGTTGTCTTTCCGCACAATATATCCGATTCGTAATCCTCGCTGTTATGACCTACCTGTCTTTATTTCAACAGAACCCTCAGCAAAATATTGGTAATCTTCAACAAATTAGCTGTTCATAGGAAGCAAACATTCTTTCCATAAGTCTTTGTCACAATTAATTCTGCAGCAAAGAAATGTGAGGTTCCAATTTTGGTATCCATTAACGTGTGAAGGCTTAATAAATTTACTTAAAGCCATATATCTCAAACAGTTCTACCAGATGTGATAAATTTGATATGTATGTCCACCCGGTTGTACTATAACATATTAATATTTAACGTTCAATTTATTTAACCCAGGTTAAAGGCATGGTATCCACGGTGGAACATAATTTAGAGGTCACTCACTGCTGTGAGTCCCGTTCGCTGTAGTGTAGTACCACAAGTTACCACCAGGAGATATGTTCAAGGTGAAGGAAGACGGCCATGGCCAGGAAGGTATTCTAAGAGGCCAAGAACAGTGTTGTGCCGGCTAAGGCAAGCAAGTAGAAGGACGGTAGAGTGAATGACAGTGTATAATTCATTCCTTCTAGTGTTTAGGAGGCTATTTTTAAACACTCCTCTATTTAGTGATTTCCTTATATGAAAATACATGTGATGGATTACTTAAGAAGGAGTGACAGTGTTGTTTCTGTGGATAATATGTAATTATTTAATTTAATGTGTTGTCATGGGATAAGACATGAATGTGTATCGCTGGTGTGCAGACTTCTTAAGAACTGACGATATTTCTTGTGAAAAGGATTAAAACATCGAGGAGTTTTGTTTAAGTTTCTTCACTGGTAAACGGAACACAATGTTCCGACAGTTTGTACAGGTGCAGCTTAACCTCTAACTACAAATAAAAAATAGACAGTGATCAGTTTTAAATTACAATGGTTTAACTGCTGATTAAACTGTGGAATAATTCGTGGAAATTTTTGCGTTTGGTACAGTGTGGTGAGTTCAGATTGACAGGATTACCTTGTATTTCCAGTGATGTTGATCTTTTCAAGAATATTGTCAAGACAGCATTGTGGATAATTTACAAAAGTATTAATGCAGCGACTGGTAAGTTCCATGTTAGTTTTATAAATAGATATCTTGCTATTTAAGACTCGATTATAGTCTGTCAGCACCTGTTCACGCTGGTTCCTCGCTCGCGGATTTTTCTTGTTCCCTGAAGATGGAGGCGCTACCTTCCTCCGAAACGTCGGTTAATACAGTATCTACACGGCGCCACATCCCAGAAGACGGCTTTCTTCAGATATCTTACTGGTCACTATGGGTTGCAGAAGCGAATGTCCCTTGACATCGAAGCGATTCCAAACCTGTTACTGTTGTTCTTGGCTCCATTTCCTTATAATCTAGAGGGCTGCTGTATTAGTCATTTCTGTTGGTAAGGAATTCAGTATCATTCCTAAATACGAGCGGCACAAAAAAGTACAAATTTCCCTCGTTAACATAAATGCGTAATTCTTAATTTTTTATGGTAAGGTAATATAAATATACGGGCATCTGATTTCTTTTTATTTCGAATTTTCTCTGAAAAGGTCGTACATTGTATGGAATGTAAATTTAAATAAAACTCCCAGAATATTTGAATACAATCTGTATAATATCACATGTTATTTAGAACTAAAGGAAATTTAGCATTCCAAAAATTATTCATGACATAGCATGACAAGAGTTGGCAGATTAAATCATATTTAATTAAAATATTCTACGTAATCATCTTCGATATATTTGCCATGTAGGTCTGCAAAATATATTTAACATCTGTACGAGCAATGGCACAAAATCCGGGTGTGGTTGTCTTGGAGATAATTTGCATATTCAAATTTTTCAATTTACATTATTATAAGTGGAGATGTTGAAAATGAAACTGGCTGGGCGTTGTTTTGATAGGTTTAAAAACCGAGATATTCTTAGAGGAAGAAATTTTCTGTTCCCAAATCGTGTTCTTCAGAACATTTCCTTAATTCTTTCAGTAGTGTTCTTGTAGCGAAAGCTACAATTGTCAGCAACAACCACAGGTAAAATGTAAAACTTTTCATAGACACTTAATTATATACCTAAACGCTATGTTATGAAGATATTACACACTATTTACTGGTAATTTATTAACCTCTGGAAGAAATACTGGCAAATGACGCACGGCGAGGGTGGTCTCTAATACGAATGCATTGTTGCGTGGTTGTTGATAAGTCGAGGGGAAGAAATCGAATTTATTTACAAAGGTAAAATTTTCCTTTTAGTTTCCCCGCCTTATTTTAATGGGGATAAGTATCTTTCAGATTTTCATAATATTCCTAATAGGTCACCATGTCACAAGAGCACGTGGGAATATTTGGGAGAAATAAGTTGATACTTGTCAAAACAGCATAGCACTTACAATATAAGTATACATGCCGTAATATCGTTCACCAATTTTGCCATGGATCGAAACAGTTATAACCAAAATGATTCAGAATAGAAGTGAGATCAACCCATTCATTCCCCTTCGTATGGGCTTGAGTGATTTCCAAATGACGAAATGGCGGAAAAGACATTTTTCGGCAGAAGTTGTCTTGAAGTTCAATGGCAGGAGACAGGTATGCAGGTTGTGCAATGTGACTACTGCTTCTCCTCTGGACCGAACCAGTGAGCGCTGAGTGGTGGGGAAATATAGGCCGTGTGATGGAGGTGGGGGGGGGGTCTTCACAGAGGTCGTTGCCTCCATACTACTCTCATTTGTTTATCAAGAATTCCCTTGTTATTTTTCAAAACTTAGGGGGGTGTGGAAGTACACAACTTTTTACATTGAAAGTATGCAATAAAAATCTATTAAAGGATCTTCCGGTTCATCAAGCCATCGTAATGAAAATTGCAGTTTATTTATATTCCCTAATTACAGTATTATTAGCCAGAACATACGAGAAATGTCCGACATTATAGGTACTAAAAGTAATTAAAAACCCAATCGGTCTGTAGCATGTAGCCACATGTTATCTCTGGTAATGCTGAAACATAATTTTGTTTGAATTATCTGCTGTTGACAGAAGTCACTTTACATATGAGGTTTATTATATTAATAATATAGTCTTCATTTGCAATATATCTGATTAATGTGATGTTAGGGAGCATAGGTATGTAAGATCCTAAAGAAATTTCCTGCTTGTTTACGATGTTTTACATCCTAAGGACAGGTCCCATTGGTGGGATCTTGTGAACATGGTATTGAATTTGATTTGGTTCATCCTGATCCGTCACACTAACAATATTATAAAAGGTTATTCAACTGCGTCCAGTGTGACTGATAAATGTTTTTTTTTCTTTTTCTCCTTTTTAATCTTTCATCCTTAATATCTTTAGTCTTAGAGACCATATTCAGAAGGATATATCAATACAAGCGGAAACTATTACAATGTCACTGGTCAATATCAATACATAAATACAATATCATCACAATGCCATGAATATAAATTTTGATCATTTAACAACTAGAGTGATGTGCATGAATACATTACAATATTTATAAATTATTATAATTAGTCTGTTTACGAGTGTGGTTTAAAGAGACTTCGTTAAAATTTAGAAGCATTTCGGTTCGTGTCCTTTATAATGGCTCCCTTTAAAGAAAGTTGAGTGTCTACTACGTCTCGGTTCCATTGTTTGATGAATAGGACTCTTAGTGTCGTCCTGTTGTTCGGGCCACGCTGTGTTGTTATACTATATAACATATAATATAATATGATAACGAATTTTGGGTTCCTTAAAAATTTGGAGGAGGAGGCCTGACTAACTGAGCCGCTATTAGCTACCCAAGAAGGATGTTGCTCCATGGAGTTGTTGTTTAAATAAGTAAATATGTTTATACATACCTGTACGCACATGTGCATATGTTGTGTATGAATTAGATCTTATTTATAAAATTCAATACTAGAAATTCTATATATAATCTGAACATAATAGAATTCGATATAGCATTACTATCTACTGGCCTTATTTTTTGAAGAGTTCGTTATAAATGTGCTTATTTATGCAAATACACAAATAACAATACAAATAAATTTATCTGAGTTTTCGTAGTTATGTGGTACGAAATTTCCACTAACAGTCTTAATGATTCTGACATACGACTCAGAATGGATTGATGGTAGTTATGTTCCAACTTTCCCTGACAAACACAAACATTTGATTAAAGTCTATTAATGAACTCCCTGTGGAGGTAATAGTTGCTCAGCTGGTTAAACCATTCCTAGCCTTTTATGGAATCCAAAGCTTCCCAAACGCCTTCTGGTTCCTGTCCCGAGCGAGCTCAGTTAAGTCCACATTTTCATGTCTTTGGACTAATTATGAAATTGTGATGTTTACTTTATATAACTTACTTACTTACTTATGAAGCTGAGCCCTTCTTGTATCGTAGTTGGTTGAGGCACTATACTACAAGCTGGAAGATCGCGGGTTCAAGTCCCAATGAGGTCATTGGAATTTTTTTCAAATATTTCCAGCCGCACAATGGCCCTGGTGTCGACTCAGCCTCTAACAGAAATGAGTACCAGGAATATTCTTGGAATATTCTTGGGGGTGAAGGGCGGCCGATGTGTAGGGCTCACAACCTTGCCGCCATCTATGAACCGATTGTCTAGAAAATTTGGGAACCTCAACATCTCACAACCCTATGGGCCTCCACGGCCGGTTACAGGGCCGCGCCATAGCTCAAGCGGTTAGTCGCTGGCTTCCCACCGCGGCGGTCCGGGTTCGATCCAGGGTCTTGTCAAGTGGGATTTGTGTTGGACAAAGTGGCGTTAGGGCAGGTTTTCTCCTAGTACTTCGTTGTCCCCTGCCAATCTTCATTCCACCAGTTGCTCCACAATCACCCTCACCTATCATCTGGGGTTGGTACAATAGGCCAGAAGTGGCCGCAGTACAAGGGACCAGTCCCACCTCACTAGCAAAAATAAAAAGTACCTCTTTTGTAGTACACGGTTTCGTTATTTGTTTTAGGATCATGTACCTGTGTATTTGAAGTAGCGTATAATTCCAGTATAATTTATACGTTCCCAATTTGTAATCTCAAGGGATAGGGACTTCCATGAGAAGCTAGTTCTTGCTTAGATGGTCAAGAAGAATTACTCTTTCTACGAAAATAGAAATAAATTGAATTCTTATTACTGTCTTCACAAGACCCGGCCACTGGTCCCTATCCTGAGCCACATGAACCCAATTTACGACGTCTTCATTTTTTAATACTCGTTTTAATGTTATCTCCCTGATTACTCATAGGACTCAAATAGTTTGTTTCTTCCAGGTTCCCCGACTACAGTTTTGAATGCGTTTCTCTGTCTGTACTTCAAGCCCAATCCATCGCATTCATTTTTTGTTTTTATTTACCCTAAAGATATTTGTTGAAGGCTGAAGATTGTAGAGATCCTCATTATGCATTTTCTGCCCCCTTTTTCTTTGGGCCAAGTACATTTTTCTAAGCATTTTATTCTCAAGCAACATAAATCTACGTTCTTCCCTTAACTTGGGAGACAAAATTTCACACCCATACCGAACAAATATCTTTTGATTCTTTTTTTTTTAAGAAAGGAGAACAGATGACAATATTCTGGACTGCATAGCAACAATCGTTTCCCTAAATCAAATATGTTCTTAATTTCGTCTTCAAAGGAATTACAAAATCTAGCAATTCTATGTAATCTTGTGCCTTACTATCATTCCTAAGGGGGCACGCGGTAGCGTAGTTGGTTAAGGGACGATGCTAGAAGCCGGAAGGTCGCGGGATCGAATCCCGATGAGGTAATTTGATTTTTTTTTTCAATTGACCTAATGCTTCCAGTCGCACTAAGGCCCTGGGGTCGACTCAGCGTCTAACAGAAATGAGTACCAGGAATATTCTTGGGGTTAAAGGGTGGCCAGCGCGTAGGGCTGACAACCTTGCCGCCATCTATGAGCCAATTTTCTAGAAAATGTGGGAGTCTAAACATCTCACAACTGTATGGGCCTCCACGGCCTGTCACAGGAATACATTTACTGTACTTTTTACACTAAATTTCCCTTTCATCTAATAGTATTTGTGTTTT